TGCCATGGGATGCTTCCTGACAATGTGTAGGTTAATCAAGGAAGACAGCACATAAGGATGAAATTCGTGTGTACTCTCAACAAGAGCACTAATTATGACCCTAAGGAGTTGCACTATGAAACAACCGATTCAAGTGTGCTCGACCCCCATCAACTTTAGAAAAAGGAACGACTAAGATAGTAACAGGGAAACAAGACTTAATCTCTTTTCATTCACCCCTATATGAAGTCTCTGAACTGGAATGTTTTATAAATGGTCTAACATTGGTGCTAACTGCTCATGACGGCGGACCGCCTGTTTGTTCTGTAAATAGAAGTAGCCCATAATGAGAATCCTAAGTTACAGGTGTGCGAAACTTGAAGATCATTATCTGCCAGCATGATGCAATAGCAAAACATTGCTCCAACAGATTCTCCTTTCTATAATGAGCTACCAGCGACAATCCATTTTTCTTTACGGTTTAGCCTTTCCTCTTAAAATGTCAGGCTTGTTAATATGTGTTCTATAGACTCTGCGTTTTAGCGCTGTCAATATGGGCATAGGTAGCTAGTGGTAACTCAACTGAGTTCCTAAATGGATGCTCCGTTATACTATCCCTTGTCCCTCCTATCTATATAAGTTTTTCTATACGTTGCTGCGCGGTCATCTTTATTCGATCGAGAGATTGTAATCAACAGATGACGAAGGGCCCCATACAGCAAAAACAATTTGGAAGGGTCTCTTGATCAACCATAGTAAGACGACGAGATTTGGGGGCTTTCTCTTATTGGCATTAAGAGAGAGTTGACAGAAAAGCAAGAGGTAAAACCTTATATAATGAAGACATTTAAAAGTAAAAATGGTGTAAAAAGAACGAATGGATGAAAATACGGTCTAGTTCAAGGAAAAATGATACTTGATTCAACGTGCGTGTAATACAGAATATGTTCATGATACTTGATTCATGATGACATAAAAGAAATTGGCAGATATGCTGCTTTTATTTTGAAAACTTAATTATTGGAGCCTCTGTAGGTGCAAAATAATAGGTATCACCAAAGATGATGAGTGACTTCATAGCCAAACACTATCATCTTTTTGATAGTACACTAACCTCTATTTCTAGATTGGACAGTCTTTATTTAAATGTTTTAGTTAGCTTTATTTTGGTCAATAACTTGTTTTGTCTTTATTTGGTTAAATATATGTTATGCTTTGCAGCTTGTCCTATGCCTTCGGATCCTGATACCTAAGTGTGTATATGAAAATATCATTGTAAGGATGAGATTCACAAATTGTTTCTAAAGAGGTGGCTTCCAGAGTTTGCAAAGGTGTCCTTACCGTTGCTTTGCAAAAGTTTCAGCAAGAGTGGAGAGAAGAATGCCCACAAGGATATGGTCAAGGCTATGATTGGCTTAAGGGCTACCTTTTGTTTTTTACTTTTAATAGTTTTTGTTCATATAATTCCCAAATGAACAACATAGTAAACAGAGTGAAATACAATGTCTTGACTTATCCAAGGAATGTAGTGTCACTACCCCCAAAATCTTATCAATAGATATGTATCATTAATTTTCGCCTAACAAAGCTTCATTATTTTTGGCTCTCTTGGTGCAAATTTTTGAGAAGAAAAACGCCATCTACTAAATATTATAAACTAAACCTTTGATTTTTAAAAAAGCAAAAAAAAAAAAAGGGGGACCTTGTACTATCTTGGTGAAAAGGAAGCCAAAGCGGAATACCTCCTGCACCGTTGCTGAGATACCGTGCAACGCATTGGAGAAACTTGCAACCATGCTCCAATTCAAAAGATAAAAGTGATGGCACATGATTATGCGATTTAGAGGAATTCGTATCATACTTTAAAAACTATGGGAGAGAGTTTATGGAGGCATAGGTTGGCGTCATGACACTAATGTTTCTCAAAATGAATTTGGATTCTGCCGGGGCTAGGTCTACTTAAAGCTATACTCATATATTTGAGAGGTTTGAATGGAGAAGTAATAGTGAGAATAAAGGAGAATCCACATATGATATTTTAATTCCGATAGAAGAATAAGACTATGATATAAGTTCCAAGAAAATGTTATGAGAGTTCTAGAAAAGAAAGGGATTAATAATGCTTATATTCAAGTCATTAAGGATATGTGAATTGCAAGTAGCTGTTTTACTCCTGTGTTCAAATATATGGTAGTTTGAACCAAAGCATTTCCTTCTTTCAATCTGGAGTTACATCAAGGATGCATCCTTAAGCTCATTATCATTTTTTGCTTAGTCATGAATGTTCTGACCAGGCATTTGCAAGATGTTGTTCTAGTGTATGCTTTTTTACTATGCTTGTTTTACTAATGACATTCTTCTTGTTGATAAGACTTAGAGAGGCGAGTTGGAGGTAAACTTGAATTATGGAATTGGAGGTCAACCTTAGAGTTATAAGGCTTTCATTTGAGTAGATCTAAAACTGAATATATTTAGTCTAATTTTAGTAATAAAAGATCCTAGTGAGGGATTGTGACTTTGGGCGATCTAGTCAATTAATAAGAAGTCACAATTTAATATACATTGGGTCTATTGTTCGAGTGATGGTGAATATGAATATATTTATTTGTAGAATTCAAGTTGGATGGTTGAAGTGGAGGATATGTATTGGGTTTGTTGTGTGATAGAAAAGCCCCCCCTGAACTTAAGGAAAAAATTTTAAGATGGTTGTGAGACTGCAATACTTTTATGGGTGGGCAAAATATTCTTCGCATTAAAAAGATAAGCATAATATTAATTTAAGTGTTGCAGAGAATGAGGATGGCTCAAGTCCGGTGTGAGTGGCTTATGACTCTGTTTTAAACGACATGAATCATGAAGATGAGCATATACGTGAAAAGGTTGGAGTGTCCAGTGGAAGATAAGATTAGAGAAGAGTCACCTTATATGGTTTGGTCACATAAAAATGACAAGCCTTATGATGGTCCGATTAAGGAAAGTAGATGTATTAACGATTAAGACTTATGTTAAGAAAGGTAGAGGTAAACCTAAAAAGACATGTTTTTAAAATATTAAAAATGACCTTTCTATTTGATTTAAATGAGAATCTTTAACTCTTAACATGACACAAATGGAGAAAAAATGATTCTTGTAGTTGCCCCTCACATATCAGTGGGTATAATGGCTATGATGATCAGAATGATGAGGACATCGTCAGCATTTTCGACGCCGGAGATCGACGGCCACGAGCATGACTTGTATTTTGTCATTTTATGTAGTAGCGTATTTTATTTTGATGTTTTTCCGTTTTTACCCTTATGGGTATTTGGTCGTTAATGTAGCCCGAGGGGCATTTTAGTCTTTTGTTTTCTTTGTCATTGTGAGGCCTATTTATATGGCCATTCTCTTGTAATAATTTAGTTTTGATGAAATAAAATTTTGCTACCATGTGTTCTCTTTGTGAGTTCAAGAAGATCTCTTGGTGAGTTCTTCACCCTCCTCGATCTCTTAGTGAGTTCACCGGAGAAGACTAGATCTCTTTGTGAGTTCTAGTTCGTGCTAAG